CCTGCTGACGACCAACTCACTCATTCCCTCGAAGGCTCTTTTTGTCTTATTCTCCCACATTTTCTTTTTTTCTCTCTCTTTTTTCTAGCATGCGAAGTGTCAAGTGGCCGTTAAGGCCCTTTTCTAGCCCCTTCCTCTTAGTTTTGACCCTTCCTATGCCCAAGGTGGAATCCGTTATATCTCGGACTGCAATAATGGTCTTCTCATGCCCATGCGAGTTTTCTTTTACTCCTATTTTTCTCCCACAGTGGCCCCTCCTACTCCGATTTTCTCCCGGAGGCCTATTTTTCACGTGGGGTTTGACTCCATTTTCTTGAGGGAGGTTGATCCGAGATTTTTCGGATTGCTCCCATGCCTCCCACTTCAAGTTTCTTTACGTTTTCTTTTCTTTTCGGCCTTCCCATTTGCTACCGCTAGTGCTTGCACTAGTCGTGCCAATGTTCTTGGTCGTCAAGATTTCAATCTTGACGGTGCACCTTGCCTTTATTATTTTCCCTCATGCGGTGCCGCCGTTTCTTCTTGGGATTTTCACATGTCCTCGCCATTCGTCCCGTCGGCGGTCCCCGACACTTAGTCCCACCGGCCGCAATTGGTCCCACCGGCGGTCCCCGGCACTTTGTCCCACCGGCGGTCCTCAGTACTTAGTCCCGCCGGTGGTCCTTGGCACATTTTACCGCGAGTGCCATTATTTTTACGTAGTCCCACGTGGCCCCGGGCGCCTTTCCCCAAGGTGTCCCACGTTCCTTGGGCGCTTTGCCGGCCCACAATGACCTTTCTCCCTTGTCTTTCTTGCGCCTTGTGCGCGCTTGTTCCTTTGGTCGCGGGGCCTCTAACCCGAGGCTCCTGTAGGTGGCCCCCATGTTGGGCCCTTATTCTCTAGCTCCCTACAGCCTCTGGAGCCGTCTGTCTCTCTTCCTCATTCTCTTGTCGCTGCCGTGCCGTGTTTGCTGGTTCAAGGGTCCTTTGGCGTTAGTCTTGTTGAGTTCCAACGGCCCTCTTGACCTCATGCTATGTTCTATGTGCCCCTGTTCTTGCACTTATTCTCTTGCCGTCGCTGGTTTTCTCCTCTTGTGGTCCTCACCCCAGGGCATTACTCCCTCTTGTGGCCTAATCCTTTGTCTTTTCTCTCTCTTGCCTCCTTACTCCAGATTTCTCTGTCGTGCACAATTCGTCTATATTCAGTCTCTTGAGTGATGGAAGTTATTCGGGACCCACATTCCCCCCACTCATTCGCGATGTCCTCATCGCGCACCAATCTTTTGTTAGTGGGTTTTGGAGGGATAGACGGGAGAGGAGGGTGGAACATCATGGTTGGTTAGTTTGCGAGGGTCCGTTCTGTCTTTTTTTGTTCTTTTCTCGGGTTTCTTCTAGTTTTCGACCCTTGGGAGAGGTGTGTAGGGTCAAGCTTTCTTTGTCCTTCAAGGTTCTCATGTCTCATTCATCACGCTTAGAACATCAAACCTCCCCCTTTCATCTCATTCATCACCCTTAGAGCATCAAGGCCTTCTTTCGTCTCATTCATCACCCGAAGTTCATCAATCCTCCTCTGCTCTCATTCATTACCCGAAGTACATCAATTCTCCTCTCCTCTCATTCATTATCCGAAGTACATCAATTCTTCTCTCCTCTCATTCATTACCCGAAGTACATCAATTATTCTCTCCTTTCGTTCATTACCCGAAGTTCATCAATTCTCCTCTTCTCTCATTCACCCGAAGTACATCAATTCTCCTCTCCTCTTATTCATTACCCGAAGTACATCAATTCTCCTCTTCTCTCATTCATTACCCGAAGTACATCAATCCTCCTCTCAACTTTCCTTTTCTTGTTGCCCCCCCTGCTTTTCCCCCGAGCCTTGCCATCCCAAGCGTCCTTTGGTTGATCCTCCTTCCATCCCGTGCCAACCAGGTCCCTTTTCCGTCTTCCGTCACTCTTAATGCCTCTTCTACTCGGCTCTTTGGCCCGTGCAATCCGTCATCTTTTCTTCATTCTCAAGCTCAACCAAATTCACATGTATTTTTTTCATTTCATTTTGCCCGGCTTTCTCTAGCCTTGCCAATTTGCATGCATGTTACCCTCATTCGACCTTTCTTGTACCCAAGCTCAATTAATTTCACATGCGCGTTACTTGGTCCATTTCATACACATCTTTCTTCTAGACATCTTGCCAGACCTTTCTCAAACTCATGCAAAGTCAATTACACATATATCTCTCTTCTGGGCATCTTGCCAGGCCTTTCCTCAAGCCTACGCAAAACCAATTACACATGCCTTTCCCTTTTGGACATCTTGCCAGGCCTTCTCTCAAGCCCACGCAAAGTCAATTACATAAGCATTTCTTTTCTGGACATCTTGCCAGGCCTTTTCTCAAGCCCACGCAAAGTCAATTACTCATCCATTTCTTTTTTGGACATCTTGCCAGTCCTTTTCTCAAGCCCATGCAAAGTCAATTACTCATCCATTTCTCTTCTAGACCTCTTGCCAGACTTTTTCTCAAGGCCACGCAAAGTCAATTGCTCATCCATTTCTTTTCTAGACATCTTGCCAGACCTTTTCTCAAGCCCACGCAAAGTCAATTATACAACCATTTCTTTTCTGTACATTTGCCAGGTCTTTCTCAAGCCCACGCAAAGTCAATTATACAACCATGTCTCTTCTGGACATCTTGCCAGACCTTTCTCAAGCCCACGCAAAGTCAATTATACAACCATTTCTCTTCTGCACGCTTTTTCATCGGTAGATGGTACACCTTCCCCCCACTCAAATGCGATGTCCCCATCGCACGACTGATTCTCACTTGGAGGTACGCAGACCTTGCCTTGCCATCTGAGTAGACGGATGTCGGCCCATCAACCCCAAAAAGGAAGGGTGATCAGTCCTCCCCCTGTTGATAACTCACCTCATCCCCTACCCTAGTCCGGCGGCCACTTCTCTGGAGATGAACATCGTCATTGAGGTGTCTCCTCGCATCTGTTAGGCGGGTCCAATACCACAAGCGGCTCCCTCGCGAATCGTTCCTCCCAAGCGGTGTTTTCTTGGATCCGGCTTCTTCTTTTAAAGAGAGTTGGGGCTCGCAATTAGTCTGCGAGTGTAGTTACGAAGACCTCGCGGTTCGTCCCGGAACGGTTGTAATGCTCCGTCAGGACGGTGTCACTCGCCCTGTGGTGGTTGCCGCTTCCACCCGGTACCACGCCCGCGCCGCTCCTCTACGGCATGGCGTGTGGTTGGGGAGAAAAAATGAGACTTAGGAAAAGAATGGCTCTCTCGCCCGTTTGGCTCCACGCCCTTGACGTTTAGGTTCTCAACATGAGGCGCAGTTTGAACTCCCCGACTAGAGCTCGTTGTCGGAGTTAGTTCCGGACGACCAACATCAATCAAAGAGAAAGATCCCTTGATCCTTCAACCCTTATCCTTCCTTGTGAGGAATAGGTTGCACTGAGACTTTCCCATGGCGGGTAGAGGTCATGGGGTTGCGGTGCATGCATCACTATCCCCCTTACGTTGAGGTCTGAGACTAGAAAGAAAGGAAAACTCAATCTTTCGCTATTTCCATTGTCGGCCCGACGATCTTTCATCAAATTGCCTAGGGTCCCCTGACTATGCAATGCAATATCCAATCCTCAATCACTCAATCCAATGCCATTTCCAGTCCTTTCTCAGAGCTGGTCCGACAGCCTCTTATCAACAAGGCTACCCCCTTGTGGCCACTCTGGCGGTCGCTTTCTCAATAGCCATCTTTCAAGGGCCGACCCGTCGGCCCACCTTCAATCCTCAACTTTCACATTCCCCAACATCCAATCCTTATGACCGTCCCAACGGTCCATGCCCTTCTCGGCTCAAACCTCGGCCTCTCTTTATCCTGCCCTTCTCATTCCAAGGCATCAGTCTCTCTCATCCATCCTCATGGCTATTTCAATGACCGACCCACCGGCCTTTTCCATCTCACATTGCTCATTCCAGCTCATTCTCAATCAACCTTTTCTCAATCAATTATGCAGGGGACCCCAGTGCCTATTTCGAAAGAAATGACCCTTGTCAGGGTCCATTTCTGAACAACCTAGTTAGGGTTGTTCTTTTCCATTCTCAAATCGAACAGCCTGGTTAGGGTCATTCTTTTCCAATCTCAAGTCGAACAGCCTGGTTAGGGTCATTCCTTTTCGATTATCAAGTCGAACAGTCTGGTTAGGGTCATTCCTTTTCGATTATCAAGTCGAATAACCTGGTTAGGGCTATTCTTTTCCATTCTCAAATCGAACAGTCTGATTAGGGTCATTCCTTTCCATTCTCAATGTTAGTGTCCGAGGGGGTGGGCCTCGAGGACACGGATCCCATTTCTGTCTCGGAGGTTAGCAGGTGGCCATCTCCTTTCAGTTCTTTGCGTGCGGTTCCCTTCATCCATTCTCAAAGCAATTTATTATCCAAGCATACATCCGACTTAGCGTCTAGTGCTCAAATTGAGGCTCACAGCCCCAAGCAGCACTAGCCCACCCGGTCGTCCAACCATAGCAAAAGACCGGGGCACCCCCTCTATTTTCACTCTTTCTGGTTTCTCATATCTTGGCTATTCTCAGACTCCTTCATGACTCAGTTGGATTAGGCTACTCCTTCACGACTCAGTTGGATTAGGCTCCTAGGGAAGGAGTGTTCTTCACGCCCCTTAACCCATAGGTTCCCTAACCTCTCTCGTACTCGACCGATATTCAATGCCTTGTTTTGCTCGTCAATCTGTACTCATAGTTTCTCTTGTCAAAAACACAATTCTCATTCCATCCAAAGTTCACAACACACCCTTCCCAACCAGTCTCATCCCATGCCCTGTGTCATTGTCTTGTCTACACACTTTCGAAGGTAGCTCATCCAGAAAGTAGCCTCAAAATGCTATCTTCTAACTCATCGTGACACAGTCTTAGCTCGTCCTTTTATCCCGCATTCCTCACAAGCTTACTCATACTATACAAACCCTGTCATTCCATATTTGCAAAAAAAAGAAATCACAATTTCTCGTCCAGCACTTAATCAACATTTAATCCCTATTGCTGCCATGTGCCTCAACTCGCTCGCTCTCTTGCTAGACCTGTCTTTCTGCTGACTCTTTTACCCCCAGGCCGGAGACCATGATTTCTCTCCTTCTCCTTGCAATCTCTTGTAACTCCATCTCACTGTAGAAATCCAAAGGTGTGGCCACCACCCCTGCCTTCGCGAGTTCCCGAGTCTTGATAATCCACTCGTTCTTGATCACACTGAGCCATTGTTGAAACCAATGACTGGGCGTTGGCCCAAACTCGTCCTCCCATATGAAGGCCTCTTCACTTGGCTGATGTATCGGGGGCCGCATCTCTACTCCAGACCTCGAGATTTCGTCCCTCTCATCGCCACTGCTGATTTCTATGACCACTTGTACTTCCTCCTCCTCATCCTCCTTTTCTTCCGTCTGTATGGGGCTATACCCACCCGTCAAGTTCTTTGGATCGTAGCTATAGGGAATCTTTGTCCCCTTTTCATAGCCCTCTTCAAAATCCGGATACCTCCCCTCACAACTGTCGTGGCCGCTCCGCTCTTCATGCGGGCTTTCCCTTCTTTCTTCCCCATCCTCGCGTCTATCGCAAATGTTCTGTCTCCCCTCGCTTTCCCCATGCCAAGACTCACGCTGCTTGCACCTCTCGGCTTCTTCCTCGTCAGAGGCCTGAGCCTTGTCTCCCATATCCGCTTTGCCCCCTTCTCCCACATTTTCCCTTTTCTCCTCGCTTTCACTCTCGGATGGGATATATATACCTTCTCCCTAGCGGAGAGGCGAAGGTCTTTTACACACGCGCTTTCTCGCACCCCTGCCTACCACTTGTTTGGACATGAACCCTATGTACAATTTTCTCTTTGTCGTCCTCCTCCCTCGACTTGGCCCCGCTCCTCCCTCTTCAGTAGGTCTGTTGACTGCCCCGCTATCATTCTCGTTGCCGAATTCCATTTTGTTTTTCTTAGGTTTTATTCCTGACCCTGTAAAACAGAACAATACCCGCAAAGCCCCTCATACACATGTAGCCCCAGTCCAGTAGGGAATTCCCCTTTCCCCAGAATGTTCCCAGTACCGGCCCATCATGCCGCTATTATACATTCCCTTATGCAAATGCCCCATTTGTGATGATCCCATTATTTCCCCATCAAAAATTATGATACAATGCTCACGACAATCTTTCCCGCCGTCACACAAGGTTCGTCATTGCAAAGTCCCAAGATATCTTGTCTTCCAACTTCAGTCAGTCCAAACCATTGCCCCAGCCCCCAAAATGACAGTCCCACAGACGCAGTCAGAGACAAAATCATAGTGTGGGCAAGGCTGCCGTCAGTTCTTAGCTTGTAGGTCCTCAGTTTCCTTGTCCTCGGGCTCCTAAAGCCATTGTTCCACTGGGTCCTGACTTAAAAACCTGACCAATCGTTGCCCTGGGAAGGGTCCTTTCAATCCAGTCTCATCCAAATCTTCCAGTTCGAAGGTGTTCAGTCCCACCCGCTTGGTGACCCGGTAGGGGCCTTTGAACCTCCTCCCCAACTGCCTAGACCAAGTACTTTCTAGTGCCGAGTTCCTTAGCAATACTGTCTCCCCCACCTGAAGTGGCTCCTTTCATACATTCTTAACCTGGTCCCACCTTGCTTTGTCCCTCATTCTGTTGTCTAGTACCCGGTTGGCGATGTCTTCCATGACCTCCTCGTTCTTAAGGATTTGCGGATCATCATCTAACCTGTTTCAGGTAGGTATCAAGGCTTCCACGGGAAAGTCGATCTCTCTTCCGTACCAAAGTTCTGCTGGGATACATCCCGTTGTCCTCTTAGGTATCATGTTCTCTTAGAAGACAGTGTGCTTAAGATACCTAGGCCAGCTCCCCAGATGTTCCGCCGCGAGCTTCGCAATCGTGTTCTTTATGGTTAAGTGTCCTCTTTCCACAGGCACATTGGCCTCTGGGTGGTATGGCTCGATGAGTTTGATCGGCACGCAAAGCCTCTTAAGCATTCCCAACACTTCTTGCTTCACAAATTTTGTCCCATTGTTCGCTATAAACCTCTTGATGAAAGGATGCCTCAAGTAAAAGTCTTCTATCCAGTCTGCTACACTTCTCCCTGCCTTTTTCTTGAGAGCGACCGCCTCCACGAACCCACTCAAGTTGTCTCGCGCATCCAGGATATACCTGTACCCATCTGTTGATACAGGCATGACCGAAAGGTCAAGGTGGACTAGATGTCCCGACCCTAGCACCCGCGTTGGTCCAAGCGGCTCGAAGACGCGTGCCGAGCTCCGTTCCTGGCAGATTAGGCAGGTCTGGCAATACGTGGTGATTATGCTTGCCATGCCTGGCCAGTAATAGAGTGTGGCGTTATCTTCGCAGGAGTTCCTTTGGACGATCGATGTCAACCTGCTAGTCCGTCGTGCATTGCCTGGATCACGTCCAACCGCCTAGATCTCCCGCACACAACTCTTCTAGGCATAGCACCTTCCTCTCTTCGGAACAGATGGTCGCCCCTTAGGACGTACCTCTCGGCCTCCTCCCTTGCTTTAATGCTGACTTCCATGGGTTGTTTGTTTCCTACCATCAACAACCCAATCTCCCGAAAGATCCCTTCGTATATTTGGGCATAAAAAAACTTTTTTCCTTCCTGGTCCTCATCCTTTCTCTCCTGCATCTGGTTTACCATCCACCGCAACTCTTTCCTTTTCCAAGATTCCACTAAGCTCATCACGGCTTCCCGGCCTCCCTCAACCACCATTGCCCCAAATAGGTAGGCATGAAAGGTCTTGAGGCAATGCAAGATGGCTAGGACTTCCTTCTTGAACTGTGAGTACCACTGTTTTGCGGAGTTCATGGTTCTACTTTCGAACCTAATTGGCCTCTCTTTTCCTTCCTCATCCCTTTGAATCAGCACGCCTCCTACGACCAAGGGTCCTCCATCCGTTTCCAGGATGAATGGTCGTCTCACTTCATCATTAAAACAGGGTGCGGACAAGGCAACTTGCTCAGATGTCAGTATGTCCTTGAGTGTTTGGACGGCCCCTTCTCTCTCCTCCGTCGAATCCATGGTCCCTTCTTCTCTGATCATGGCCCGGATAGGCTCAGCGATTTTGGCAAAACTTTTAATGAAAATCCTCCAAAAGCCGACCACACCTAAGAATGCTCTTACCTCCGTTGTCGTGCCCATGGGCGTTGGCCACTGTGATATCTTGTCAGTCTTTGCCGGATCTGGCTTCCGAGCGTATGCGCCACAGCGAAATCCTAGTATGGTTACTTCCGGTACTGCTAGAATACTCTTAGGTCCGCTAGCCGTAATGTTGTATACTAGGAACCGACGGAGTAAGTCCTTGATGTCCTGTAGATGGTCCCATACAAATCTTTGGATTCCCGGCTGGACTTCCGTCTCGTCCTTCTCTTGGGCGCCTTTGATCGGGTTGTCATCGATGTAGAGCTCACACTTCTCTGGGAACATGTCTCCGGCTACGACGAGCATTCTCCTTTGTGCTTCGGCTACCGCGTTCGTAAAGCCTATAGGGGTCACCTGCATCTGCAGCTGTCCTATGGGGGTGTGCATTGTGGTGTACGGTCTGTCCGGAACATCTGGCCGTATCCTGAGTATAAATCTACCAGGGAGTAAATGCTTCGGCCGGCGTGCGACTCAGCTAACAAATCGGCCTGAGGTAGCGAACCAGCATCCTGGATGGTTACTGCATTCAACTTCTGCAGATCTTGAATCCATCTCAGCGTTTTGTTGGGCTTTCAAAAGACGAACCACCTGTTCGCATATCGTGACGCCGTAGGCTCTGCGACGAACGAGTCAATTTTTGCGCGAAGAAGGTCTGTCACTTCCCCTGCTATCCCAAATTCGTAGGACGACCCTTTGTCATTCCAACACTCATGCTCCACCGTGTGGATTTAGACCAGGGGAACTAGCTTTGCGTCTAACCCCTTTTGGTGATCACTAAAGACAAATGTCAGATGAAACTCTTGGCACGTCCTTTTGACCAGGAGGGTTTCTTCTTCCGTTAAGAATTTGTCTATTCCTATCTCCATTGTATTAACTACCTCATCTGGTATCCGATGCCCTTCCGTTGCTCGCCTCTCTCGGATCACTCGGAGAACTTCCTCCTCCTCCTCCATAGCTTTTTCCTTTGATGTCTCTAGCAGGATCGAGACCGGTTTTGCTTTCTTCCCTACCGACTTGTACTTTCGAACACTTCCTTCCGGGATCTTTCTCCTAAAAAGTGAACGGTCGGGATTACCCTCGTCACCTCCACGACTCGTGGTTGAATACTGACTAATTTTCCATTCGGACAATATCCCTTTTGCACTTCTCCTTCGAATTTGGCCAATGCTGCCGAGTCCACTCCTACGTTGTGGTATCTGATAGCCTTGATGAGCTGTAACAAATCGGGAATCTCGAGTGCGACTTCTGACATGGCCATGCGAACTTCTTTCCGCTTGGGCAGGCTGGCTCCGAGTTCGACTTCTGATTCTTTTTCTGCCACCATAACACAGAAGACTTCGTCCTCCTGCCTTCTCTTCTTCTGGGGCAGACCCATCTTGATCCATTCCTTCTTATTGAATGCTTCCTCGATCATGATTTCCACCCTTTCTCTCATACCTTTCATCCGTGCAAAAACCCTCTTCCATGCGCTATCGTCGAACGATGGTGACCACGTTGATAACTTCCCCTTCGGAGGGTTTCCTCCCGTCCCAAGGAGTCGGAGGAGCTCACCCCGGCCGGTCACTGGGTCCTCTATATCTACCATGTACGTGCCATCGTGCAAAGTGCATGCCTATCATTTCTACGTTTGCGCACCATGGTCTCCCGAGGATTATGTTGTGGTTCATTTCCTCCATTACGGTCATCCGCTGAAATGACCAAATCGACTTCCTGATTCCTGCCTTAACCGCGCATTTCGTGACATACCCAGCGAATGGAATTTTCCCACCGGCTCCCTGGATGCTCCTTGTTACTTCCTTATTTACCGTACAACCCGTGATTGTTGCGAAATCTCTCCTTATGAGAGTGATTTCCGCTCCCCCGTCTACTAATGCGTCGGTATGATGAGTCCCGATCTGGATTTTCAACTTTCCTACGGGTAGCGCATGGAAGCTGAGCTTTGTTCCGGGAGGTGCCCTCATGACCTCGCCACCTTCTCGGTCTGGCAAGCTCAGGCGGATGTCCGCAAAAGCTTTCTCGAGATCCTCCAAATCCCCGCGACTCCTTTGTAGGTTAGCGACTTCTTGCGGAGCTTCACCCTCCCTTTCCTCTTCCGGTGATTCGGGGTTTTCGTCTATCTATACTAGCCGCCGAGTCAACAACTGTCTAAGCCCTTTGAGCAACCTAGGGCTAGCCTGTAGCATGGTCTGAAACGACACCGATACCATGGTTCCTAATAATTTGCTAAGAGTGTCATCGATCTCAGGCATGGTTAAAATCGGGATTTGATACCTAAACTTCTTCTTAGCAGCGGCAACTTTGTTTGTAGGCTCCTCTTCCCTAGGCTTCCCATAGACTTTCTCTGGTTCCCCGGCCTCGGGCTCTGCCTGGGGCGTGGAGCCTCCAACAACCTCCTCCATCACGGTGTCACGGACAATCCTTCTCCCAGTCGTCCCTAGTCGAGTGGTCACGTTCACCCTATCGCGTCCGTCACTTTCCAGAATAAAGTTGACCTGCGGTCCGGGGCCCCGAAGTTGATCCCAGATGATATGGACCACCGGCTCTGCCTCTACTGCTGCTATCTCTAACCCATTGAGCATGATAATGGCTCGCCGCGTCCCCCCCAACGAGTTTCAATTCACCTGTTTTCCCTGCGGTCTGAATATCTCTCCATTTAATGATCTGGTACATCTCCTTTTTAGTATATCATTGTTGAGTTTTGGACATGCGCGCACAAAATGTCCCACCGCGATGCAGTACTTGCATTGCTTATTAGCGGGGTCTCTCCGTTCGAATCCTCGGTTGGCTACTCCCGGTGGAACTACGGCTTCCTGGGGAGGGAGGGTGGGTCGGGATACTTGCGTCTGCATAACCAGCAACGCGTTCTCCACCCTTTCGATCTTATTGTCGACTCCGTGCACTCGTTCGTAACCCCGGGGATCCTTAGTGCTACCAGGGTAAACTCCCGTAGGAAGTCATTGTACGTTGCGAAGTTCTTCCTCTGAACTGCCGCTAGGTCGGCCTCCGTTGCCATCTTCTCCGCTGCCAGGTACTTTCTCATCATTACATCCCGGGTTTCCTTCCACGATCGACTCGCGGCTACGTTGGTTATTATGTCCCGTCCCAGGCTCAATGACACATGCTGCCCTAGGTGGTCCATCTTTTCTTCTTTGGTCCATTTCAACAACGCGGCCAGATTCTCGTAATCAATTAGGAATTGAGTGATGTTTGCTCCGTCAAACGTCAACTTCTTCTTAGCGTTCGCTAGGTAGCTTTGGTTTTTGTTCAGTGCTCGCGTGAGGGACGATACTATCTTCCTAAGGCCGCCTTCGGAGCTACTGGCCTCGCCCGCTGTACTGGTATCCAGCCCTTCCTTGTCGGCCTTTTGTCCCTTCCTAGTCTTTGCAGATCCTTCCGGGTCGAACCATCCCAACACCCTTTCCCTAAGGCTCCAGAGCCCTTCACATCCTCCCGTTACTGTCGGCGTAGTCGGCAAACGGCTAGTCCTGCTATCTATGGCCGGCGGGCTCGTAACTGTCTTTGCTTCCATCCTCGGGGAATTCTCTCTTTCCTTCCTCCTCTTGCTTGGCGTCCCTCCGCGGTCACTATTCTTAATGCCTTGTATACTTCCGCCTTGGCCGGCTTTCCGCCCATCCCGCGGTTCCTCCTGCTGGGGGTCCTCCTCGTTCCCTGACATTATTTCTTCAATCAACCTTGCCTTGTACTCCGCGGTCCTTTTTTCTATTTTCGCTAGCTTACGCCTCGCATCCGTGACTCTCACTTTCTTGGACGCAACTCCCTCAAAATTCCGGGGGCTTGTCCTATCCTTATTTCTGCCCTCCTTGGTCTCCTGAGTCCTTTGCCTGCTTCCCCCGACTTTCCCCGAGCTTTCCCCTGAGGAGATTTCCTTCCGGTTCCCTTTGGTACCCTTCGGATTTATCGATTCTCTGTCTTTCTGACCCTCATTGCTCTGCACGACACTGCCTCCTAAGCCTGGTCCTCCTTCGCTCCTACAGTTATTCGTCTCATCCTCCGTTGCCATTTTGCCTAGTTCTGCATAAACCAAAGGATTCCCCAGGACACACGCAGCGCGAGGCATTTAGGTTCCGCAGGTTCCGGCTCTGTTGGCTTATCTTTATTTAGATAGTCGTCTTCTCGCCATTTTCGTTTCCCGATTGCTTCCCTAAGAAGGAGCCGCGATCGGCCCTGCCGCCCTACCGAGCTAAGGGACATGACTTAGTTCCCTTTATCATAGGCTCGTTTAGAGTGCCCCTGTTCCGTCGGGCCGGCGCGTAGGAGTCCCAGTTAGGCATCCCACTAGGGAAAGTTTCCCGAGCAGTATTCCCTTTTTCGACTTCCAGGGTCATGGCAACCATTAGCAGTCTACCCTCCCCCCCTTTATTCTCTAGCGGTCTTTGATCGTCCGGGTCCGAAGGTCCTTCCTTATTTCCATCGGTGAGCCCCTGTACGTAGCGGACTATACTTGATTTGCCCTATTGGCCTGCCCCCGGATGCTAGTCCCGTTCTCGTCCTCGTGGCCCTTCCAGTTCGGTAGGCTCCTCGAATAGTTGAGCCACCCCCGCTAGATAACTCTCTCCTATCTCGATTTCCCTCTGGATTATGTGTTCGTATTTCGCCCAGGCAGCTGTGGCAAGCCAAATATTAGGATATGGATAACTTTGAGTAATCCATTGGCCCTGTTTCCCCAGAACGGCCCATGTTCCACAACAACGTCATAAAACATCCTGATGGTCTGATAGGGGAAGTGATCTACCCAGATTATTGTCGAGTCTGCCAGCTCCTGCGCCCTTGCGAGGCTCCCGAAGACGAGGTCTATCATAAATCGGGGGACCCGGCACCTCAACGGTATGGTCGGTGCCCTGAATTCCCTTCATCCTCCCATTTCCACCCTGGTAAGTAAGTCCACGTTTCTTCTACGCCTGACTGATTGTCCTATCCGTGTCAACATTCGGACCGCTCTGAAAGACTGGCGCCAGCTCGTGGCCTTGCGCTATTCCTATCCCCAGCAAGTGCCAACCAATCTCGGGTAGGTACAAGGCCCTGGTTACCTCTAAATTGGAAAACAGGTCATCCCCAAGTCCCCGGTTGAGTCTCATCCCTATCCACCGACATTCCACCAACTGGAAGGCGCTATCTCTCCCTAGAGTCACGACCCGCCATTCCACGTCGAATCCCCGAAAGTTGGAATTTGACGTAAGGGACACTTCCCATCTCCTGTCGTTATTCCAGGGCGGTCTGGGTACCGGTGCTGGCGTTCCGTCCGCACACGTCTTGCCGTCATTGCTGTTTCGGTAATTTCCTGCATAGTTCACATAAAAAGGATTACGGCCCGTTCTTCAGCAACTGCCCATCTTCCTACTGTTTCCTTTCCCGCTTATGCCCCCTTTCCTCTTTTCTGTCATGCGTCCAAAATCTGTGCCCACAATGGTCGGGCACCTTCCCTTGTTTCAATCCCCTCTCATGACCTGCTAAGCTAACGTGCATGCCCCCCCTTTTCTTATGTTACACCCTAGTTTACATGCGTCCTCCATACTCCGACCTTCCTGCGACGTTCGATTTCTTGGTCCCTTTAATCGAACCACAAAACCTCAAACAGTTTAAAGACATCATCCACGTAGGATGGAGCGGCCGCCGCCTCCCGGTAACTCTCGGCGGTCATACTTGCCTATCCTAAGGACGGTGAGGACTTCCCCGACTTTTTCTCCGTAGAAGGGCCCATATTTTAACGAGATCCTATAGAATTCCTCTGTCAGCCAGGCACACTCTATGTGTACTTCTTTCATGGAGTCGGCCACGTCTACGATGTGCTCGAAACCCCCAAACCACTCGGCCACGAACTCGGGCACCCACGCCGTTGTTCAAAGGCTGGGAGACTTGAGTTCCTTCCATCCCCCCATCACAACTCTGCTACTAACTTCGTCTCATCCCTCGTTGGCGAACCTGTTGCCTTCTTTTTGGGTTCGCGCTTCTGCATCCTCCAGAAGCCACATCGGATCCTGTCCTGTTGCTATCATAATGCAAAATAGGCGCCGCCCATCTTCGGAAAGGACGACCGTTCCGACCGATTCCACTTTGCCTTCTGCTACCTCGTCCCAACCTTCCTTTTCCCTTATTGGTTTCCAAATTCGCTCAATCCATACATATGAGAGTCCCGGAACAACCTCAAACCCGACCCAGTCGCTTGTGGGTCCTCTCCACTCGTTTTCTGCTGGTATAGGCATTTTTATCCCCCCCTTGAGTCGCCTTGGTTCCCATCCCTTGAAGGTGTATTCCATCAACAATTCCTCTCTAGTCATCTTTTCCCTTCCTGCACAATGCCAGGCTACTCGGTCTCCCTAAGTAAGTCACCCTCCTTAGAAGCCGCAGTCCTCTATTTCATCATCTTCATCCTCATCACTGAAGTCGTCCTCTTCGTTGTAGAACAACTCCCTCACCCCTTCCAGGAATATCTCCCCTATTGCCACATTTCTGTAGACTATCCCCCAATGCACGGAGCTAGGGACAAAGACATTGTCTACGCTAAGGCAGTTTAGCATCTCAGTCAGCTCCTTCGCCCAATTCCCTTCAAACGGCCCCATTTCTACCGACAACCGAAAGAAGTCTTGCCTAGCGCACTGGTATAGTCCGAGGGTCGTCATGGACTGACATATCCGTACTAGCCTGCTCCGAGTTCCGAAGACCGCATCCACCAGAAAGGGAGGCAACACACATCGCATGGTTTCGACGGGTCGCCTCACGCTTCCCCTATCCCCAAGTTCCACCCGCATATCTACCCTTTCCATTTCCATTTCGCTCCGCTGACACGCAGCCCGTACAACCTCCACTTCTGCCTTCCTAAACAACTCGTCCGGCATATCCCCGAGTGCCAAATCTATGACCATAGCATTCTCCTTGTCTTGTGACAAGTAGACCCACCCCCGGGCTTCCACTGTCCCTTGGAACTCCAAATCCATTAAACTCGGCGACAACCTCGTCAAGCTGATATTAGCCCATACTGTCTCTATCCAAAGGAACGCGTCCTCCTCTTCCAGCATTACGGTTTGATATGATGGCTCAAGATCTGTCCACGTCCCATCTTCCGGGAGGACGACCGATACCCCATCCCTTACATCTACTGACATTTTCGGACCGCTGGTATAGATCGGGGAAAACAACCACCGCGCCATCTTGTTTCCAGCACCCGACCCCTGTTTTCATAAGAGAGTACCAAACGGCCCCTTTTGGCTAGGTCAACCCTCGTCCTAGATGAGAATTATTTCAGACCCCTCATCAAGGTCTCTCTAGTTTACCTCCCCATTCCTAAGTACCACCTTCCCACAGTATCCTCGGTCGATCATCCATTTCCCCACATTCGCTCTCTTGGTTCCATTCCAGCTGACCTGTATCCTCCTTCCTCCCGATCATCTCTCACTCGTGTAGACTTAGATGGGGGGGGGGGAGGGAATAGACTTAGAATTATGCCCCGTCCAACAATTCAAGCTCAATCAATCTTTACAGAGGGGGAACACATATAAAAAAAAACAGGCAATCTCACATGGGGGCCGGTCATCTCCTCACCGGCCTATCCGAATATGGTCTCTCCGATGGTACTATCGGTAGAGTTTTATCTCATACCTCAAGCGCAGCTCAACCGTCGCAAGCGAGGTACCCAGGCTCCGGCACAGGGTGTTACCCCTCTCCATTTGTCCAAAATACCCCATCCCATTTTGCCGCTCTTGCATACCCTCGTTGGTACCGGGAATTACCCCTGCGCAACCCGTTAGGAACTTAGGAGCAATAGTCAGCCTTCCGGGCATTTACTTTCATCGGTCCGACAAGAATCAACCTTTCCCAAGCCGTGCTACGAGAAGCTACTAATCGTCTCCGAGGTTCCTTCCTGGCCTCGCATGCAGTGGTACTCCCGCCGCCAGTCAACAGGCTAAGCCCCGCCTAAGAAGACGTTTCGCACTCATCCCGGGCAAGATCATCGACCCATGCTCGGACCCCCCCGGTGAGAATGCTACTAATCAACCGGCCAGACAAACTCTCGTTCGACAGCTCGGTGGCCTCACCTCCATACATGGACACCCGACAACCTCAAAGAGCGCGACGTTTCGAAACCCGCACCAGCCGATGCAGACCCATCCTTTCCTTCCGAAAGGTAGGACGCTCAAATCCCATCATGCAAATCACAAGTCCCAAGTGGGACACATATAATACAAGTGTCTTTCCCTTGGTGCGCCCAACGCTTCCTACCCATAACTCACATTTTTCTCTCAGGACAATGAGTGTCACTCCCCCTATTTTCATACATAGTGGTTGGTTCCTTCTTGTGAGAATCTTCAAAGGTGAGCTAGTTTTCCTTGGAGTCTAGCAACTCCCTTCATTCCCTTTCTCTTCACTTGTCTGTCCTTTCATAGGGTGGGGTTGTTCCTTCTTGATGACCCGTTGTGTTCATGTTGGTCCCTTCAAGCATTTCAAAGTGCAACGTGCATGAGCCCGCTGGACTCAAAGAAGAGGAGAGAACGACACCCATTCGGTCGGATCACTCCGCCGCGGGATTTTCATCTTACCCCGACCGAAGCGGAAGGACCAATCGCCTGTCAGGTAACCGAAGCCCTTCTTTCATACGAAGAGGAAGGGTCGACCTGCGACTTGCCCAAGGCTTCCCCGGACTGGCGAACACCAGCACCGGACGGGCGAACACCAGCACCGGACGAAGGAGGGCTAGAGCCATTCCACAAGGAAATGGCTAATCAAGTGCATAGCATGCATGTTCTACCTCCAGGCCTGACCATGCCATGCGCCCAGCCACTCTCAAATCTGACTCTCACAAGGGAAAGAGCAAGCACAAGTCCAATTTCCTTATCTTTGGTTGTGTATATGGTCATGCGTAGGGCGCCCCCTTCGGGATCGCAAGGGTCAGTTTAACCCCATACCCGACACCTCCACCATTTTTGTAGGGCCAAACCTCGGTAGACTTTCGAGCCTTAGTCGACCCCACTGCGGGTCCCAGTTGGCTCAGCCTGCCCACGCTCATGCTCAGGGCGCGGGCCATTCGTCCCAAGGTCACCCCCACCTAGTGCTTTGAGATGGATGGGCGTGGGCCATCGCGCGACAGAGCTTTGACATTGGGGATGTAGCTTAGCCCTCACGCCGGGTGGTAGTTTCGCTGGTCATTTGGCAACGCTGTTTTTTTTTTAATTCTCGGTTGTGTTCTATAGCAATTGCTCCTTCCAATACGCCGGCAGTCCAGGGGTTCTTTGAGAGTTTTCTTCTTTTGTGCGTAGGCTAAGCGTCATCCTTAGGCCGCGCACCGTTTTCCTAAGCATTGTGATCCTATGGCGTCATCGGGGTGTGGCGATGCCGTCCTCCCCCTCGCCTCTACGCACCCATTGGGTCTCATACATCTCATTCAACCTTATCGACGCAGGCCCCTTAGTCTTTTCGGGACCTTCACATGCATGCACACACAACTTCACTTTTCCCTTGATAAAATTGCACTTCATTCTCTCATTTACACTCCAAGTCTCAAACGCAAAGGTCATTTTCATGGATTGGCCTTATGCTAAGGGTCCCGTAGCCCCTTTGCCCCTCTTCCCTTTTCCTTTTGCCGCCCGGTTCCTCCCGGCCCTATCCCGCTCAAGGCACCCCTTGCCTTCACTTACCTGCACAGTCCCACACAAAGCAAAGATCCATACAATCCCCCACTGGGGGTCAACACATAACCCTTCCCACATGCCTATTTTCCATGTTCTTTGACTGCTCTTTGTTTCCTTTCTTTTGCTCAATCAGCCCATCCTCTTCTCATTGCCATGCAGTCGGGGAAATGGTTGAGTCAAATTGACCTTGCTCCAACTTATAATCTCTCCCGGATTCCGCCTTTTTCCCACTCCTTCGAGCGTCCTTTCCTTTGCCTTCTTGGTGGCATAAGGGACCGGCTACCCTCCCCTTGCCCTCTTTCTCCACCAAGTGAGGTCTTATTTCTTTTACCGTTCGCACCCTGACAATGTAACAAGTGAGGGGAGAAAGGTTAGTCATATGCCAAGTGAGGGGAAGGGAGAGATGGGGCAAGGTAAAGATGAAGAGAGAGAGAAAGAGTGGGAAAGGGGGAGAGAGAGAGAGAGAGGGAGAGAGAGA